GCAAAAATGTTTATAATTTAAAATTTAACTTTTTGATTATAATAAATTACAAAGTAATTATACAAACAACTTTATTATAATATAAAAAGAAAGTATATTAAATAAAATTAAAGTTGTTTTAAAAAAAAATAGACAAAAAACAAATTTTTTTTAAATATTTTATTTCGTTTAATTTGATTGGTTGACCTGAATTTTATCAGGTTGGGTCATAGCTTGACCCAACTTGATGTTGACCTAAAAATTTGTCTACCTGACCTGAATTTTTCAGGTTGGGTCAGGTTGGGTTACAGGTTGACTTGACTTGATTTGAAGCTCTAGTCTATATATATTCTTTCGTAAATTTTCAATTCTTCTTGAATTAGATATATTAATCTAGATAGTGTCTCTTTTGCTATATTTTTAATCAGATTTTATAATAAAATAAATTAAAATAAAATATGATAATATTAAATTTTAGATTTAATATATAATATATAATGCACATCGGTTTATTTAACGATAATTAATATAAAACTAGAATAATATAAAACAATTCCTTACTTTTTCAAAAGTTTTATTAAGGCTTATATTATATGCTTTATACAATCCTCTTCCAACTTTATAATTTTTTTCTCCAGTTTTTTTTTGATCTGCTATTAATATATTAATTTTAGTATTAAACTTTGCATTTTGATTTAATATTTTTTCTAACGTTTTTGTCAAAACTTTGTATAAATAAAATAAAACTTTTTTAAAAAATCTATTCCTTAAATTATAATGATTTTTATTCAAATTTAGTCATGATTTCAATCAATTATTATGCAAAATTCTACATAAAAACTTACAATTTTTTTTAATTTATAGTTAAAATGTAAAATACATTATAAATGTATTATTTTAAATAAAATTTCATTTTTAATAATTAAAGTATTAAATTGTTAATAAAAATAGATTTTTTTTTTTTTAAAAGAAATAAGAATTATAATCAATATAATCAATATTAATATTTTTTTAATATATAAATTAATATAAATAATATATATAATCAAATAATAGTTTTTATTAAGTTAAAATTTATTCAAAATAATTAATTTGTATTATATATTTATATATTTATATAAAACATATTATTTTAAAAAAAAAAAATTTTATAACGAAAAATTTTATTTTATATTACAATATAATGAATTATATATATTATTTTTTTTTAAATAATTAATATATATATACATTTATATATATATTTATTTAATTTAAATCAATCAGTTAATTAAATTTTGCAATTAAAAATTGATATTGATAAGTATTTTTATTTTATCCATATAAATAATCAATTAAAAATGGTTAAATTTCTAATTTTAATAAAGCTATTACAAAATTTTCACTAAGGTTAATAAATAAATAAAGAAAAATAATTTATTTGATTGATTAAATGGTCATCTTAAAATTTGTTTATACAAGCTTTTTAATATTGAACGCCAATTCAATTTAAGGTCAGAATGTTCTCGAAATATTGAAATAAATAAATTTATTACCTGCTTGCACAATAAAAATTCAATTAATAATTAACATACTACAAAAAAGCCTTCTTCGAAACTACGCTTTCTTTCTCACATTAACGATCACTTACATTAAGATTTCTCGGTATAATAAGAATGAATTACGTAAAATAATGTACAATTGCCCACATAATTAATAAGGTAATGATACATCCCACTATGAAAATCCACATATCTTGAGTAGATCGTCGTTCAATATATTGAATAACATTTCGTGATAATCCGAGTGTATTTGCAGCATCAAGAATCTTCCTTTGAGTATTCTACAATATATTTATATATAAAAAAACTTTAATAAGATCATAAAAAATATCAAATATATATGTATAGGGTTGGGAAGTACAAGGTTAGTACAAATATTAGTACAGTTAGTACAATAAAGTTAATACGTTATAATTATTAATGTGAAATATATTGTCAATTTTATCTAGTACATACACAATTTCCCAACCCTTACATAGATATGAACCTATAAGAAAAAACAATAAATAATCTAACCTTCAGAGTATTATTTTGATCATATATATTGTGAAGCACTTCTCTTCCATGTGCTATAAATTCGTCAAGTTTTGAATCCGTCTCATTTATAAAATTATGTTCTCGTAATGCATGTTGTTCGACCGAAAATTCATGTTGTTGAAAAGGATATTCTGGCTTTTTTCAACCAAAAAATTTCTAATTATATAGAATTGATTAAATAAAACATCATGATGTTTAAATAAATACATAATACATACTGTAGATGTATTGTGTCTTCGTCCTAACAATTCTGATCTATCATTTTGAACAACCTATTCATAAATTAAAATTATCAATTGAACTTTTTTTAAAAAGTAACAAAATAAATAAAATAGAAACTGACGATTCAAAATACCTTATTAGTTTCACGTTGTTTTAGCCGTTCAAATAGCTTTTTGAATTCATTGTAATCATCTCTTAATTTACTTACATTACTGATAATATATTAAAGTTAAATTAAGTAAGTGTGTAACTTTTATATTACATTATACAAAAAAAAAAGTTCATAACTTACGAAAAAGCTTTTTCTTGCTTAACAAGAATCATTTCTCTTTTAGCCAGATTATCATAATCATCAATTGTTCGTTTTAAAGCAATGAGACTTGCAGATATTTGTCCTAAATAATTAGAATTTTCATTTTAAAATTATATTATTGATTCTTCTTAAAATCATAAATATTATATATACCTTGTAAGCCAACAGAAGAATCTTCGCCATTTTCAAATTTCTCTAAATCCTGCGTTATACTTTGGTTTTGTTTTAATGCGTGTTTATATAAATTATTCATAATTCACGCTATAAAAAGTAAAAAGCTTGATTACGGATTAAAGCATGTTAGATATGTATCGCGTGATTTATATACTTTTCTTGATTCTCGAAAATTCTAATTCAACATAGGGTTTCAATAAATATCCAATGAAATTGTGACAAATTTTGCAAGGATCATCGTAAAAAGAGTCACGTTAAGGGTGAATGGTGCACGAATTCGGGTCCTTTTCTTTTTGAGGCTGATGTAATAAAGGAATTTGAGTGGTATGATGCGTAGTAATTTTATTTGAAGATCGGTCATCTGATCAGACTTCGTCTCCTTATACATCCAAGAATCAAAAAACTCTTCATCGCCAAAATGATCACCCAATGAGATTAAAATCCGCTTTTCATATTTAATAATTTTTTTCTTCTTCTACACCATGTTACGCTCTGTTAGCACAAAATTCTTCAAAAAATCACTTGTGGTAAATATATGATGTACTTACATTATTTATAAGATTTACAAGTTTGCCTTCGTTTTTCTTTTTTATGTAGAAAACAGGTATAACAGTTTTTCCAATTCGCACTTACGTTAGTACATATAACACACGAATAGCTGGTTTAACCGAAGAACAGAATGAGGTAACTTTTTATTTAGTATGACCTTATTATTCTCATATTTTGTGCTAAACATTTCATTATCGACTATTGATTAGCTTCATGAGACCGTTCACCAATTTTGTCAAAAGGAACTTAAAATAAGGGCAGCTGAAATTGATAAACAGAATTCTTTCCCAACAGTAAGTTTTTTTATTTTAAATTAATGTAAAATTATTTTAGAGCTTTAGAAAATTTTTAAGCGTGCGTTTTCTTTTAGGATATGTGGAAGAAATTTGGTGAAATGGGGTTACTTGGTGTCACCGCTCCTGAAGAATATGGAGGATTAAATAAAGGTTATCTCGAACACACATTTATAATGGAGGAAATTTCGCGAGCATCTGGTTCAGTTGCTCTTTCCTATGGAGCTCATTCAAATTTGTGTGTTAACCAGATAGTTCGAAATGGTAATGAAAAACAGAAATCAAAATATTTACCAAAGGTACGCACACATATATAATATAAGTATGTTTTTCCAATCTTTACTTACTTTAAATCTTTATTTATTCGAATTAGCTTATTTCTGGTGATTATGTTGGCGCGCTTGCCATGTCAGAACCAGGATCTGGTTCAGATGTAGTTTCTATGCGTCTTCGTGCTGAGAAGAAGGGTGATAGATATATTTTAAATGGAAATAAAATGTGGATTACCAATGGTCCCGATGCAAATGTTTTGGTCGTGTACGCCAAGACAAACTATGAAGCGGGTGCTCGTGGTATTACCGCATTTTTAATCGAAAAGGTATCATTATTTTAAATTATTCAATAAACTAATTTTAAATTCATGAATTTAATTTATTTTTGTATTTATATATCCGAAGGAGTTTCAAGGCTTTTCAACAGCACAGAAACTTGATAAACTTGGAATGCGTGGATCAAATACATGTGAACTCATATTCGAAAATTGTGAAGTTCCCGGTAGTATATTTTTTTAAATAAATATTTTCCATATTTTTGGTATATAATTGCGTTATTTAATATTCAATTTTTTTAGCTGAAAATATTTTGGGAGAAGAAAATAAAGGTGTATATGTTCTTATGAGTGGTTTGGATTTGGAAAGACTCGTTCTATCGGGTGGTCCATTAGGGTGATTCTTTAATATCTATTTTTACTAATTTGAAGTTCCATAATTCAATATTATTTACTCATTTTTTTTATTTATAAGTTTAATGCAAGCAGCACTTGATATCGTTCTACCTTATGTACAATCTCGGTACCAATTCGGTCAACCAATTGGTCAATTCCAATTAATTCAAGCGAAATTAGCTGATATGTATACTAAACTAAATGCTTCTAGATCATATGTTTACTCTGTAGCGAGAGCTTGCGATATTGGACATGTTTCTAATAGGGTATTTAAATTTCTAATAATTTAACCTTTTTATAATTTTATAAAATAACTTTTATTTCTCATCTTATAGGATTGTGCTGCTGTTATATTGTATTCTGCTGAGCGTGCGACTGAAGTTGCTTTAGATGCAATTCAGTGCCTTGGAGGTAATGGATACATAAATGATTATGATACCGGTAGAATTTTAAGAGATGCCAAACTTTATGAAATTGGTGCAGGAACGAGTGAAGTTCGAAGACTTGTAATCGCAAGGTTAGTTGAGTTACAGTTGATTATTATTTCCTGTTATTTAGCTTTGGATTAATAATATTTATTTTTTTTTTTAGGGAATTGTATAAGGAATTTTCGGACCATTAAACCTATTAGATTTTTTATTGAATTGCTTTATACTTAAGCAATCATTGTAATCATGATGGAAGTTAATATAGTTCATTACCATTCGTATAGAATTTCAAAGAATTCATTTATTTAGTATGTAAATCATTTAATCAAGAATAAAATAATATTATTAATAAATAGTAAATATAGTCCTATAAATTATACAAATCGAATAAATGAATAAATGACAAACTAAAATATAACATTAAATTTATAATTATACATGATAAAAAGAAAAAAAATTTAAATCTAAGAGAAAAATCCGAGATCACGAACAGCATTTGCCAACCTTTTATAATCTTCCAAGAGTTCTAATAAAAAATAGTTACAATTTAATACTTTTTTGTAAAAGATAAATAAATGGAATAGATATTAAATTTAATACCTGGTACATCATTAACGCGAAATTCTTCAATTGAACAATCTAAAAATTTTTGAATAGGAGGAGATATCTTATTTATAGGTTCATTCACCACTGATCTTTTATTTTCCTCCTAATGCACAAATAACAAACGCAAAGAATTTAATAATTTTTTTTTTTATTTTTTTAAAAAAAAATTTTTTTTTTGATACCTCTATATGATTGCGATCACTGTTGAAACGTGGCAATACGTTAAAAGGAAGTAATCGACCCGTTCTACAGAATTCATAGGTTATCAATTGTCATAAATACTGACTTCTAGAATAAAAAAAAATAAAAATTTATGCTTACAATGATTTGTTTTCATCTAACTGAATATTTTTATTTTGGTTGCTAATAATAGATGAAGTTTCTTCGCTACGTATGTTATTCTTCACTGTGTATATTTCTGCAAGTTCTTTCAATGGTCCCTCTTCAGATATATCAGTATTCATTTTATTATCATTTACATCGGTTTTTTCTGACATAGTTGGAATTTCTTTAGTTTTTCCCGCGATTAATGAAGGATTCGTTCCAATGGAAGTATTTTCATAACCGATAAGCCTTCCAAACATTTTAACTGAACTGTCCATAACACCTGTAATAACTTTAAAGCCGCTGTCAGCAACGTCAACAATGTCTTGTCCTACTCTGCGAGTAACTCTTTGATCAGGATTCGTATTGCTATTTGTGTTCCAAGAAATTATAAAGGTTTTTTATTATATGAAAAATTTGATAAACTAAATTGCTGTCGAATAACGCATTCCGAGCTCAAACTATAATTATAAAATAACGAACCTTAAAGCTTTATCTGGTGACAGTCCTAAAGCCGAAAAATCTTCATTTACTAAATATAACACAGCAGCTTCCTAAAAATTTAAAAAGAATTCATAAAGAGAGATAAGAAACCCCAGATAATAATATATGAGACTTACAATATTGGTAAGACAATAAGCTGCTTCTCCACACAACAAATTATGTACACGATATCTTCTCATGAACCTATAACAAATAAAATCAGATTATCAAATTATTGATCCAAAATACTCAAATCACTATTATAATAATGGACATTACCTCAAGTTTGAAATTAATTTTTTTGGATTTGATTTAACCACAATAAAAATTAATAATGGTAATATCGCGTCTGCATTAGGGTCATCCGAGCTGTGTTTTTCATCAGTTGGTGAAGTTGGCAAAATCGGTGTCATAGGTAATTTTGGCGAAATCGGAGTTATAGGCACAATAGTTGATTTAGGTAACGTAGGCGATGGAGGTAATGGAATAAAAGCAGGTGATATGTCATTTGATGATACAACATATGAATTTTGATTAATCGCCGACTTATGGCTTTCACGATCAATATTATTAAAGCTCGGAGGTTGTCGTATTTTTTTCTCAAGTGCTTCTATATATGCAATTTTTATATAAATTAATTTCATTATCTATTTCAATCTTTTAATCACACTATACATACCCACTACAATCCCGTGGCAATGGATGAGGCTATTAAGCTTCTCATATGGTGCCTTTTTTTGTTCTAAGCTTTGCAATTCTGCACCTGCTACCTGTATAGCCAGATCAATAAATTCTTGTTGTTGCTGAGACTTTATATCAACTCCGAGATTTGATAGTCCTAATTCTAAAAGATTCAATGCAGCAATTTTTGATCCAAGCGCTTCATCATCGGCAATATCATTTGACCATTTTGGACTGAAAATACTATTGTATAAATTATTCATATAAACCAAAATTATGAGTTACGATCATATATAAACCATAGGGTTTAGAATAATAAGAATAATACGAACTTATCGTAAAGCGCCGTACAAACATAATTTTCGACAATATTCATTGTTTCATCTATACCATTTTCACTGTCTTCGGTAAGTTCTACGACTTGACATTCGATTTCGCAACGCACATGATCAAACAATCCTTGGATTTGTTCAAACGAAGCATCTTCGTTTTTGGGGGGATCTTTCATAAAATCTCTAATAAAACTATGGTATTAAAAAGAAAATATAATATTATTGCTAACCTATTAATTCTTGGATATATTCAAGTAAGATATTATAGTATAATTATTGAACTTATCCGTATATAATTTGCTATGGAAACTTAGGCGTACTTTTCAATTTCTTTTAACAATGCTTCTGGTAAATATGATCCTTCGACCTTTTTCTCCATCTCTGTGCGCGTAGAAATACGCTCCGAAATTTCTTTTGTTCTTACAGGTGACTCTATTACCATGGTTTGAATGGGCATACCATGTAAAAGAATGTCAGCATTTTTATTTAGAATTTTAATCGTTGGATAGTCATAAGAAAGATCAGCAGGCTTGGAAAAAGTATCAAATATGGATCTAATAATATTAATATTAATAAATAACAAATTATTTCGTGAATAACTTAATTAATCTATGAAAATATAAAATACATATATATATATATTATACTAAACTAACTTGCGACTCTTGGGATTGTCTATGTCAAATTCTTGTTCCGTAGGCATTAAACCAATAGCTTTGAAGATATCCCTTAAATATAAGTGATTCATTTTGTCAATCAGCACATTGAATACTTTTTTTAAAAAAAATAATAGATAACCATTTAAAAGAAATCTGTAAAACTCACTGATGTATAAAACCTCTTACTCCATTTAAAGTTACCACTTTGATACCATCTTCAGTTGATTGAGAAAAAATGACATGATCTTCGAGGTAAGTTCGGTCAACATTTTCGAAAGGCATAACCGAAGACGCAGGAAGAAAAAGTGTCGCCTGATAGCAGCACAAGAAAATGTCCATCCAGAATGAAATTTTCAATATAAGGTGTCAACCAAATAATTTATTTTTGGAGACACTGTAAACTTGAAACTGTGATACCACAACAGGTGAAGGCTTTCCACCAAAAGCCAAAAGACATGCAGTCTCCAACCTTTTTTGCAATCAACATTTGCACAATATCCGAAAAGCCCACATTCATTTCACGGAGTTTTACGAGCATTAATCCACCTACTGAGCCACCTGGTACTGGATGTGAAGAAAATCTAGGCTGTAAAGAGGAGGACGAGGAAGTTGAGGACGAGGAAGGAGATCGTCTACTGCGTTGACTTGACCAGGTTGAAGAAACCATATCACTTTCTTCATCGTCATTGTTTAATAATGGATGGTGTGTAAGAGAATCTGTACTCTGAGCGGGTTTTAAACGAAGAGAGGCAAATTGAGGTGAAAGCAAGTTGTTGGTATTAGTACCAGAAATAGTTTTAACCTCAGGTAAAATTGTCAAAGGTGAAGAGGTTATTTTTTCTTCTGGACTTGAAACCACGTTTTCCTTCTCGTCCATAACTATATAACCAAAAATATGACAACTTTAAAAAATGGTTGTAACAATTAAAGGGGAATTTTACGTAATAAATTAATATATATGATACTCAAATTCTATAAAAAAAAATTTTTCTTAATTACTTATGACTGAACCAAATAACGTTTCTTTGGATTTTTGGATTTTCTAATTCTATATGTTGTAACACAATGACAGTTGTTTTTCAACTTTTATTGTCAGCTGAATTTAATTGGTCCCTATTTTTAAATGACATCCAAAATAAAAATTTAGATCCAACACTATGTCTTCTAACAAAAAGAGATCAAAAGAAGATAGTGATGACGATCACTCTAATGAAACTTTTGTTAAGTATGGAACAGAGCTCCCTGATATAACTACTTCAGGTGAACAAGACAGAGGAAAGTTTCAGCCTGTTTGGAAACAAGAAGTACATGTTCTATTATTTTTCCGTTTCTCTACACTTGATTTCTTTCATATATCTAATACAGTTTTTTCAAGGTTCGCGATGAACAAGGCTTGAGGCGTTTCCATGGTGCATTCAAAGGCGGGTGGTCTGCGGGTTACTTTAACACGGTCGGATCTAAAGAAGGTAGGTACAAATGCAAAGTTTTAATTTATTTAAACATTTACTTATTAGCATGTTTGGTCAGGATGGAGTCCTTCGACATTTGTTTCTTCGCGAAAGAACAGAACGGACCGTAAGGATTTTAAGCCAGAAGATTTTATGGACGAAGAAGATCTCGAGGTATATTTATATTATATAGAGTATCTTAAAAGGATTACATTGATATCATTTATTTGTTATAGGAATTGCTAAAAAATCAAGAAGTTGTTGCCACCGACGAATTTGATTCTTTTGGTTCTACAGAACGCGAATTAGAGAAGAAGCGCATGTTAGCTAGTTCTATGGAAGCAAGCGGAAGGTACGTTACTTAAAATTTTGTTATTTTGGTAATATTTCATGTCAATTATATATTTGTTTTACATAAAGTGTGTTAGGTGCGTTACCAGACAAATTTATTGACGATTTGGTATTACCGAATAAGGATCCTGTAGGTACGATATATAATTCAAAGTAGTTAGTATGTTTTATGCCTATTAGATGGTTTATAATAATTGTCTTTTCATAGGCGTTCGGTTGTTAAAAGCAATGGGTTGGCGAGAAGGTCAGGGCATTGGTCCTCGTATTTCAAAGATTCAAAACGACGATTCAGGTAAGGTAGACCAACATTTATTTATTTAATGAATTAAAAATCTTATTTACAACGTAATTACTTGTTAATTATAGAATATCTAGAATCTGATACAAGTGCCTTATTTGCTCCTAAGAACACTGAAATAATAGCTTTTGACCAAAAAAGTAACACTTACGGTCTTGACTTTGATTCTTTCAAGAATGCTCCTGAATTCATTCCTCAATCTAGCAACATTAAAGGTAATGAATTGAACCTAATAGTGTAGCTAATTTGACAGGATGTATTGTTATAAAATACTACAGTCATATTAACCTCATTTAGGTGACAGTTATCTTCATCGCAAAAAAGACCAAAATTCATCCATACGAGGTAAAGAATGTTTTTCAAGTTATTTATCATCATTTTGTAATATTTAATACTATTTTTTTTTAAGGGTCAACTAATTTCGCTGTATTTGATGATGATGATGATGACATTCTATACGGCGAAACTTCGATGACAAATTTTCATGCATCGTTAATGGATGAGGATGAGGATACATTGGTCATGGGAGGAAAAAATTTATCTAGTTATTCTAAACAAAATCAAGTGAAAAAGGTAACATTCCGTTAAATGAAATTTGGGTATTCACATCATTAAAATCTTATATTCCATTAAAATAGTTATCAAGTGATAAACTGTGCCATGACGGAAGTTCACCTTTACGAGGATTTGTCTTGGCATCACGTCCTGTTCCACTTGATAAATGGTATTCTGATATTTATAGTTAATTTCTTGAATGAAAAAACAAAATTCAAATGTAATGGTAGCTGATTAATTTACCTTTGATAGGTTTGCTCCGCCAATTCTACCACAAGGGTTTGTACCTATACATGAACTCAATTCCGAAGCAATAGAAAAGAAAGATACACCAGTCTCATTTCAAAATAGCAAACATCAGAAACAGACAACGTTAGCTATTTTGGCTGAACAGGTGAGCATCATATGTATTTTATTATTTTATACAAGTATATTCAGTTTAATTAATAAAGGTGACATTTCTTGTTTTAAGCGTGGTGAATTATTAGGAGAAACTCCTCTGAACGCCCCAGCTAGATCAGTTTTTGATTATGTTTCCCGGAAAGATAAAGATAGATTGGATAATCTAATTGGGTATATGATTGATACTACAGGCGATGTTCAGAAAAAGTCTAGTGAATTAGAAATCCCGAAAGTGGATAAAGACGTTGCTTTAGCAGCTTTGCAAGGGTTTATTCCATTTGAAAATGATAAGAAGAAACAGGCAAGGTACAAACAATTTTTAGAGGTACAGGCCGAATTGAGTGCTGTTCCTTTGAAACAACCTGAGGTAAGTGCTAGATTAACCTACGTAAAAATTTATCTTGTAATTCGTTTTTATTTATTTTCATCCCATTTTAGGATTTTACCTTTGAACAATTTATCAAAGAACTTGATGAATTCGCGCAATCTGCGAGAATATTTCGTCCGATGTCAAAAATGATGGCTTCCCGTTTTACCAATGCAAAATCCGTAGATGATTTTAAACACCCAGAAGAAGATACTCGATTTGCTTCAGAGTCTTCTAATAAATTACATCAGGATGATGCTAGTATTCAAGTTTCTTTAGAATCAGCCGGATCATCAGCCGAAGCTGCAGCTAGGATGAATATGTTTGGGCCTCTTACAAGAGTCAGGACAAATTTTTATCCTGCTCGTCTTTTATGTAAGCGGTTTAATGTTGCAAACCCACATCCCGATTATCAATATGATAATCAATCTGGAAAAACTCAAAAAGGACAGAAAGATGTACTCAGCAAAGAAACCATGAATGACATTATTGGGAAACAAGATTCGCAAAATTTTATGGAATTTACAAGTTCTAATTATAAAAGTCAAGTAAATATTGATGATGATAAAGCCGATACGTTGAGATCAACCGATGATGTCAAGGAAGAAGTCCAGAAAACTAGACCTGCTATGGAGCTTTTTATATCTATATTTGGCGAATCAGATTCTGGAGATGAAGATGAAGCTCCGAAACATAAGGTATTAATTTTGAACTTTATAGATGTATATTCGTGATCATTAGTTTTTTTAAAAAAATAATTTTTATATTAGGAACCGCCAAATATGATTATTGGAACTATGGATGATACAAACTTGATTGAGGATGAAAAATTATCTCCTGCACCGTCAGAAAATGTAGAAGCAGCAGCTACCATACCATTTCGACCAATGTTCAAAAAGAAAACGGATCGATCAGAAAAAGTATTATCCAACGAATCAACAGAAGTATCTCAATCACAGTCGATACCTCCTAAAGGAAGGAAAAAAGGACCCGTAACTCGAGTATCGTTATCATTCGATGATGATACAAAGATTGGTCCATCCGTAAAACGAAAACAAACTGAAACTAAGTCTAGCGATAATGATAGTTCTTCGTCGGTAGAGTCTGGCGAAAAAAATGATTCCTTATCACGTCGTGAACATAAGCATTCTCATAGCCGTCATAAACATTCATCATCTAAGAAACGTAAAAAGAAAAAGAAGCATTCAAAAGGTTACGACAATTCAAAGAAAAAAGATAAAAAAAGATCATGCGAAGGTAGTGAAGACGAAAGATTTAAAAGCAGTAAAAAGAAGAAACGTTATGGAGAGGAAGGTAGTGGCCATGATAGAAGTGGAAAATACCATCGCAATAAAAATTATCGTCATCAAGAAGTAACAAAACCAGTGGATAAAGCGAAAGAAGACGCGAACGACAAAAGAATTGAAACGCATTCAGAAAGACTTGAAGAAAGTATAATAGATAAACGTGAAGAACAAACAACCTATTTAACAGAATCGAAAGAAAAGCAAATTACTTCGCCGCAATCAAAAAATGATAATAAAATGTCAAATACTAGTAGTAGTCGGCCAAGAGCAATGGATTTATGGTGATATTATGATATTATTATTTTATTATCTTAAAAACAGTAAATAAATGTTTGGAAAAAAACAAGTGAATTTTTTTTTTAAAAAAAAAAATAGAAATTTTCACATTTTGTGATATAATTAATTTATTAATACGTAAAATATTAAATATCATTTATCATCAAGATCGTTAGTTTGAAAAGGTACATTTAATGGATCGATAATAGTTCCCATTTTTGTGATTATTCGTGGTGTTACCATTTTATGAAAAACTTCTTGAGTATTCCATTCTGTACCAAGTGGCGTACGTAGACTTCGTTCATATTGTTCGCGTGTTTCAAAAGGATGTGGAATATTTGTAGTAAGATATTTCTTGGTCTATATTAACAAGACTTGGTTATTAACAAAATTGAAAATGGGAATGAGATTTAAGATTTTACTTTACCTTCTTTATTCTTTTCTCATTAATAATAACGTGTTGTAATTTCGCATCTTTCCTTTTGGAAGCTTCAATACCTCCAGGTAAAGGTTTAGCTAAAATGAGTTTCTTCTTTTTGGGCTTTTTTACCCCTTTACCACCCCATGAACCCTAAAATATTGACCATGGCCGTGAATAAATAACTATTGCTGTAATTGAAATACATATAGAGTAAATAATCTAAAAAACTTGCCCATCCTGGCAATGTTAAATCTTGTTCTTTTGGTTCATCTTCTTCAATAATAGCTTGTTTTTCCTTTACAAATTCCTATGCAAAAAAAAAATATTAGATGTAATCAGATTGAATTGACTAAAAAAGTTCTTTGTACAGCAGAAGTAGTAATGAAATCATTTTTCTTTTTAACAATACAAAATGTGATTAGACTTACTTCTACAACATTATCGTTTGCAAATGCCCGCGCAACTAATTCCCTCTGTGAAAATGCTGTAGGATTCTTGACGTGTACAAAATTTGTCTCATCAAATGTTTCAGAATCGTCTTCAGTAGATTTCAATTTTGATTTTTCATCTGAATTTGTAGCATCTTGTTCAGTTAATGAATTTATGTCTTTCTTCTTTTGCTTATTTTTTTTATCTTGTCCTTTGAATAATATTATTTAGATAAAATATTAGAAAAATGATTATAAAAACGAAAAGGAATAAACATTAAAAACTTACCATTAATTTGTGCAGAACTGATCGTAAGCACATTGCTGACATCGATTTCAATACCATCTTGTAACTTATCTTTGTCTTTGTGTTTCTTCAATTTTGATACTATCTTATCGGACTTGTTATTTTCTTTTACAATACCTTTGTTATTCTTTTTGCTGGACAATATTATTTTAGACGAATCATTTTGAAGCCATGGATTGACTTCTTCTTCAGAGTTTGTTTCCAAAGAATAATCAATCTTCATTGATTCCACTGGAATGCTTGAAATGCTATCAACTTTTGACTTTTCTGAAGTGTCTTTGAGTGAAGAATTTGGTTCAAAAGTCGATTTTGATAACTGCAAATAACGAAATGAAATCGATATTATATAAAATTCCGATGCTGATTAAAATCATTATTATATAGGTTTTTTTCGATTTTAATATTAAATACCTTTTTGATTTTAATTTCATGCTCTGAAGTCGATTTCTAAATTATTATTAGAAATTATCATCAATATAAAATATTTTTGAATTTTGAATTTCAACCATTAATTTAATCTTACTTTAGAACCTGCTCCGAATATCATCCTGCCAAGATTGTTTCCAACATGAACTATTGAACTCTTTTTGGATTCAATAGTTTCATCTTTCTTCGTATTTTCTTCATCAAAATTTTCGTTTTCTAAATCCTCGACAAAATCATCAATTATTCCTCGGGTACGATTTTTATCCCTTTCCATAGCATCATGCATAAATTTCATTCCAAATAATCCCTTCATTTCCCCTTCGCATGCAGCCTCTTTTTGTTCTAATTGAGCCAATTCGTCAAATGCTTTCTCTTTGATAGTATTAATATCATCATCTTTTTCGTCATCACTATTTTCACTTGTGAAATCACTTAACTCTTCATCAGTTTCCAGATCATGAATTTTTCGTTTTAAATTTTCATGCCTTTGTAGTTGTTCAACAATTGCTTGACGACTCTCTAGGTCATGACGACCATGTTTTAAAGCTTGCTTAGCCCACTTGCTAGTATTCTTATGCCTCAAAGTCATACGTTCTTGAGCACGTGTCGCTTCAAGTATTAACTGTTCTTCACGAGCAAGCTTAGGATCAAGTTCGGCCAATTGTTTAATATCCAACTTATTTTTTTCCTTTTCCTTCTTTCTGATCTTGCGATACGCTTTACTTTTGATTTTAGCGATCCTTTTTGATTTGATTTCTTCGCGAAATACTAACTCCCGCATTTTACGCAATTCCTTGACTCGATTTTCAACTTCCTCAACCGATAATTTACTCATTTGAAGTTCTTCATATTGTTGTAAACTCTTTTCTTTTACACCACTTTCTACCAATAAGGAATCAATTTTTTTTTCAAGTTCTGTTGAAGGCTTAAATTAAATAAAATAAATTAATTGACAATAATTCATAAATGATGAATTCGTAGAATGCTTAACATACTTGGAATGTAGCGGCTAATACATTGTTTGTTGGCTTATGCGAAGGTGGAACATTCATAGGAAATTTCAAATGTTCAGCTTCACGGTTTTGCTTGACAATCGGCTCCCATTTAGTAATATCTTTTTTGGTTTCTTCGTAAGCGGCTTGTCTATTCAACTTGTCTTGAATTCGAGAAGGTAAAGGAGCGGGTAAAGGTTCTTGATAAGTTCCTTTCTTACCACCACTTTCTAGTGATACTAATTTTTGTTTTAATTTACTAAAACCAGTTTCTTCTTGTATTGATCCAATAAGGTCTTGAAAATCAATTTTTTTTTTAATATTCGGGGACTCCCTAGTGGTTAGATTATACTCTGATTCTTCGAAAACTTCTGCATGTTCTTTCAATTGCTTTTTCGGTTTGTCTATGTCTTCATCAACGGTTCTTTTTCGTTTTTTATCCAATGAACCGATAAACGAAGCCAAGTTATCCGATTTTATTTCATCATTTACTTCTTGTACATCATTATCTTCTTCCAATAAAGCTTTTACTTCCTCATCCATTTTGTTTTCGTCACTATCTGATCCATCAAGCCCAACAAAATCCACGTAGCTATCTTCATTTATTCCTTCATCATCATCATCATCTTCTTCTTCTTCTTCGTTCTCTTGATCCTCAACGTTAAATTCATCATCTACATCATCTTCATCATCTTCGTCATCTTCCTCTTCGTTCTCATCTAAATCGATCTCTTTACCTAATCTTTTTTTTACGTTCTAAAAATATTTTATATTAAAGCTGATGTTATACATGATGAAATCAAACAAATCGAATAATAACGATAAAGAAAAATGATAAACCTTTTGGTTAGACCCTCTAAAAATAAAATGTCCAAACCTTTCTTCGTCCGAATTATCAAATGCTTCATCACTATCAATTTCCTCGTCATCCTCTTTAACAATATTTTCCGAGCCAGTATACTCATAACTTTCTATTTCATCGATATTTTTACGACGCCGTTCCTGTTTACTAATTTCTTCCCGGTCGATTTCAAAAATGTCTTTTCCGGATGATTTATCGGGATTTTCTGGTCGCTTACTTTTTAAGGGATTCTTTTTATTTGATTTTACTCGAGGTTTTGAAGGGAAGTTTGCCAATTTTTTTTTTCCCATGCTGAAAATTTTTTTCTTTTTTTTTAAAAAAAGGGAAATTTATATATATATATAGATTTTTTTTTTTAGATCCAGATAATAATAGTGGCTTAAGTTTGTGATATGACGTAATTTTTTTTTCCGAAAAAAAATCGTTTTTATAATGAACAAAAAAGAATTCGAATTTGATTTATTTAGTGAATTTACCGAAGAAGAAGAAGCATTATATGCTTCGATAGCAAATAAATTCGAAACTAAAAGGAGGGAATGTCTTGCGAAATTACAAAAAAGATCATTGGAACGTACACCGGAACAATCAAGATTATTTTATAAAATTTCTCAGGATCTAACGCAAAGACAACCTTATATTTTACCAGGAATTTTAAATCAAGAAGAATGTAACATGATATTGGAAAAGGTCTTGAATCACGTGTCTTCCTCGATTCCAAATGAATCTGTAAAAAGGAATGTTGAAGGTTGGACAACTTCAAGACATTCAGCATATCCGACAACAGATATTCCATGTTCCTCCATTCCAACTTTAAACACCTTTATTCGTGACATATTACATACACGAGTTATAAAAAAGATATCTTTTAATGCCGGATTTAAATCTTCGAATGAATTAGATTTTAAGGATTTATTTTTTGTAAAATATGAAGCGAAAGAAGGCGAACAATCTGAATTGAAATTACATAGCGATGGATGTTTGATCTCCTTTAACATTTTATTAAATATGAGACAAGAATTTGAAGGTGGTGGAACTTATTTTTCTTTCAACAAAAAGTTATACGAAATTGAAATGGGTGACTGTTTGGTACATGATAGTAGACATTTACATGCAGGAAGAAAGATTACCAAAGGAAGAAGGTTTATTTTAGTCGGTTTTGTAGATTTGGGATATTTAACCACGTGATTTGTTATTTGTCCCAAAAAAAAAAACGCGTGTACCTTAAATGTTATTTCGTTTAAATAAATATAATTTGGAAAGACGGGCTCAAAACTTATAAACTTACAACTTACTCTCAACGACAATGACATCGGAAGATAATCACTCTATTTACGCGTCAGCTTGTTCTTCTTTTGCTCACCCTACAAAGACGCACGACTATTACCCAACCATAGAATATTCACGAAACGACTTTATAATAATAAGCAATTCAACGATTACTAAATTACCTTCCATTACAAGTAATTGGTCCTTTACCTTTCTTATTACGTAAAATTTCCTATTTGGTTTTGAATAAATCCGTAGTTTATTTCTTATTTCTTTTTTCTTATTGATAAAGACGATGTTATGCAGTTTGTCACAAACGCAAATGAAAATGAAAAGATTGATTATGCAAGATTGAGAGAATTATTGCAAAATCATGATAAGAAAAATTCAACAACTGATGAAACATCTAATATTTTAGGGAGCGTAAGTATTGATTCATGCATGATGATTTGAAATAGTAATTATTAATATGAAACGCGCATTAATTTAATAGTTAGATGAACTGACGAATCCAATAAAAAATATTTCACAAAAAGAAGAGATTTTGAAAGAAAAGGTAGAAAATGAAATAGAAGAAGTAATAAAAGAAGTAGAAACCGTTGAAGCCAAAAACCGAAAAAAAGTGATCGAGCAGGATGACATGCAAGAACAACTTGAGCAGCTACGTGAAGAGAACGAACGACTCAAATTAGAATTGCATGCATTTAAAAGAAACACAAGGCCATTTTTTACCAAAGGTAAAAGAAATGAGAGACTGAAATGATTTTTTTTTTCTTTAGTTATTTAAATTTTTATTATATACCAGAGTCAAAATCATCAGAAACACGACGTAACATTTACAGAGATAAATTGTATTTTAAATTACAATTAGCCAAAGTTGATGAGTTGGAAACCGAAATCTTGTCCAATTTGGTTAAGGTAATTGTATTACTTAACCAAAAAAAATCCCTATGATTTAAAAATAATAATCAATTGTTTATTTTATTAGGAAATAATGTTAACTTTAAGAATCGATGATGTGAATCGAGTTGTTCCTTCTCTAAAGCAAATCAACAAAGTTATGAGAGTAGTGCCACATTTACGAGATTTTTGTTAAAGAAATAAATCTCGAATTTTCATCTAAAAGCTACTCCACCAGAACATATTTTAAAGACGAATGAAACAAATGAAACTTTTGACAGAAACTATCAAAGATATGAAACTATATACAGCTCAACTTTTAAAGAATAAGTAGAATTCTCTTATAAGATGGTTATGTCACGTGATGCTTGTATTTATAAAACTAGTACCCTTTGTATAACCATAAAAAAAGAGATTTTTTTCACATGCTAGAAAAAAAAAATTTTTTTTTTCCTTAATAAAAAATTTCCTTATTATAATAGGTGAATGAATTGAATAATAGCAAAATTTCCTGTTGTTGATGATCATGTATGATTTGAGAATATAGTAAAAAATAAAAATAAATCAAGCAAGATAACTTGAAATTCGCGATGGTCTGTGCATTTATGTTCGAAAAGATAACGAGGTTGAAGGAAAGAATTCTTTAATACCCTAATGCTGGCGTTATCAGAGAATTCCTGATTGCAGTTGGCCTCTGCGGCATGGACAGATCTTATGATTAATTGAATGTCGCCCATGTAATATATATCAACATATAAAAAGTGTCAAATCTATTTAAATGTTTTTTCATGTGACAGGCAATAATAACAATAGAAAATGTAAATACTCATGAAGATGTTCTCAAAGATGTTTTCCATGTGGTTTATAACAACAACAATAGGTGTTACACTGAAACACATAATCATTGATGGTCTGTGTTACTTTGTTTGTAAACGAAACGTTTTATTTTGTGTACCGTTACGATCGATAAAAAATTCATTGTCGTTATTATCAAAAAAAAATTATGAGTCGCCGAATAATAGCCACCGAATTCAATTAAGTTAATCTAAAGCATATCATGGCGCATATAATATAAACAATAAATCTTTTTATGTAGTAGTGGAAATAAACTGAATATTTGTACAATGTAATTTTTCATCAATCAAATCAACAAAAAAAAATTTTTTTCCATTCTTTGGTAATTCCAAACAAATATTTAAACCCGACTATTTCTGCCTTTCCCTTCGTTCACTCGGTCGAATTAGTTTGATATTTGACACCCTTAAGTTTCTTTTCACCCTCTCTTTGACTTCCTAGAAGTCGATGAAAATTTTATGTTACGACTCCTAAATTAAAAATTTGCGAATACAGTATTTTAATGATATTTTACTAAGATACTTAACCTATACCTCAAACTTTTTGAAACGAACATTTAAAAACATTTTAAACCAATTTTTTTTAACATTTTACGATATATTCAAATCAAAATATAACGTTAATATTTTTTTTTATATAACAACGAAAACACCTCCCCTATTTTTTTTCGTCAATCCTCCAAAACAACATGGTTTTGTTAGTATTAACTGACCGTATCCGAACTGCCATATACCAAGCTGTACAATCTCCAGAATTTGACGAATCCGCAAAGAAAAGGCTCAAGTCTTATCTTAAAGCCTCCTCTTGTGTTCCTCTTGACTTAATCAAGGAGGTCTCAAAATTTTTGCTTGGCCGCGATGGTAAACTCGGTAAAGAAATTGGTAATTATTTTTTTTTTCGCCGAAATTTTTTTTTTATTTGTATACAATTGTTTTATTTATATTACACATTCCTGTTATGGGTGTAATATGGGTAACCCTGTTCGTTTCCCGATTTTCACCGAGGTGCATTGACCATCGTTCCTCAGATTATCATTAGCATTTTTACACCTTTGGATCTCCAATCTTTTCCCCTATTATAGTAATTTATGTCATCAATTCACATTCACACACCATCACATTTCCCACATTTTCCACATTTCCAAATTAGTAATTAATTAATTAATTTATCTCATTTTAGGCCTTTCAAATTATTGGCTTCATGACATGCTCACCGGCAGCGGGGTTTACGTTGAACCTCGCAAAGAGAAGGTTAAGGTAAATACATAATTTATTTAATTTTTTCATTCGTTATTTGCATCAAAAATTATCTAATAATCTTTGTATTCAATAATTCACAGAGTCCAGAATTGCTTGCTCGTTTAGAATCGATCCTTGCTGAACAAGCCAATAAGGAATATGCACGTATGATTGGAAGAGTCGCCTCCTCTTATGATGTAGAGACTTTTAAATTACTTGATACCGAGGAATTCCAAAGCGTTCGCGGTCAATTAACTGCTATAATCAACATCACATTCACTGTTGTGGCAGTTTTTGCAGCTGTTTATCACGTTGCCCAAACCATTACTGGTGATACGGGTTTGGTATGTATCGTTAAAAAAAATTTTTTTAGATATTTCCCGTCAAATATTTTTGCTAACCTATCTTTTTTTTAATAACAGCGTGTGTTGCTCGCTTTTACCGGAAGTGTCATTGTTGGTGTTGCTGAAACAGTTTTATATATGCGTTATCTCACCGGATACGACAAAATTGAACCAAAAGAGCGTAAACCACGTAGAAGGTCTTCGGCTTCCTCTGGTTATCACAATAAAGCTGCTACTACTACCTATACCTCCACTCCAAGGAAGTCAAGAACGCTATGAGCTTTTTTTTTAAAAAAAAAATTCCTTATGGAACAAAATTAACAAAAAAAAGAATCTTTTTATATTATTTCTTTTGTATATTTTTTCTTTTCTTTTTCTTTTTCATTTTGTGCCGTGTTTGATATTCTAATCTCGAACAATTTTTAACATTAATGTTTTTTTTTTTAAAAAAAAAAAAGAGAGAATTTGAGTTCAAATCATGGTACGCAAAAAAAAATGGGTTTTTCTTATTTTTTGTAATAATATTTTTTTTTTTTAAAAAAAAAACCCCCACCATCTTCTTTTAATCTTTGCATGTAGTATAGTAGCAATCAAAAAAAAAAACATTTTCTTTTGAAGAGAACATTTTATGTCTCCATTATTATTTTTTTTTTTTGGATATTACATATTATTTTATTATGCTTTTCAAAAAAAGACGCTTTTTTTCATTCCAAATTAATTCCTCTCTTATCCATGCCCACACTCACATCCATTTATATATTCTCTTTTATTATTTCCTCAAAAAAAAAGTGTAATTTAGCATAATATGAAATATTCAAAAGAATTCCTTAAATATTTTTTTTCTTTCATCTATCACAACCCATTTTTTTTATTTGAAAGATTTTCACGAATATAAAAAAGGAAAGTGTGGTTTTTGGAATTGTGAAAATCGAAATCGAAGGTTATTTTTTTTTGTTACCTTTTTTGAGAAATATTACTTTTGTAATAACATTTGTAAACTATCGTAACAAAAAAAAAAATCCTCACCTTTTTTTTATTTTTCTAGTTTTTTTTAGTTTTATTTTACTTCTTACAAAAAAAAAAAATTGTAATCAAAAAAAAAAAAATTCTCAAAAAAAAAAAGTTTATTAAAAAATAATAAAATTATGGTTATTTTATGCTAAAAAATTAATATTGTCGAATGTATATTATACTAATTTAAAAAATCAAAAAAAAGGAAGTTAGATTTACAACAAATTAGCATTCACTATTTGAAGATTTATGTCAATATAACTTCGTTCCTAAGTATTTATTACATTACGATATAATATGGCTGTTACATTAACCTTTGTTGAGTCACTGATTTGTGTTACCTATCCTGTATAATTATTCTTATTAGTAAAGCTATAAAAACTTGCTGTTTTACAAATTTATAACAATGTCTGATAATAACAATAATGATAAAAATATAATCGAAATATTTAAAAATATTTTCATCAAACAAAAAAAAGTTAATTATAACAAATATAAAGATTCATTAAATATTATAATCTATTAACCATACTTAATTTTGTTCAAAATGTTCGAAGTATTATTAGATAGTAAGAACGTTTATTAATATACATATCTGTATCATTGAAGTTTTATAATTCTGTATAAATACTTTGCGAATGTATTATTTTTATTTTTTATTTTTTTTTTTTTTGAAATTAATATAAATTCTGCAAATATAATAAATACAAGAATTAAGATCAGTAGCTAGTTTCTATCAAAAAGGATTTTGAAAATATTTGGGGATCAACTCTATGAAACAAGCATTTTTTATTTTATTTTATTTTAATTTAATTTTTTTTAAAAGAAATTTATTTAGAAATAAGAATTTTTAAAAGACAAATATTGAACATTTCCTTCATTAAATGAGTTTCAATATCTCAGCTGGAGGATTATGGTCCATTGCAGCCAGCGGTTAAAACATGGCAGGAACTTGCATAATGTCACTAATGAAATTTTCTTCGAGAAGGTCGAACTGATTCATTTTATAACGACGAATAAATTGATCTGGTATATCAGAAATTGGTTCATTCGGTAAAAACCGGTAAAGAGTTGTTGGCCTTGAAAAACTTGTGAAAAAAGTAAACATCTTGTTTGGTCACATCGCGATCAAGAATTTCAAAACGTACAATATACACAATATACACGAATATCGTCAATGATTTCTCGAACTCGTTAAAACTTCCTCACTTAACTTTCTCAATAATTATTTAACTAATGGTGTTACATAGTATGAGAATTTGAAACATTTATCTTGAATATTGTTTGTAATAGAATCGTTAGAAATTAAACTAGCTTGCTATTTGAAAACTTGGAAAAAACATATTTGATGCAGAAAAATTTCTAAAAAAAAATTGGAAAAAAAAGGATAATGCTAACAAAAGTTTATTGAAGTAAAAAAAATGATAACGCTAAAAAAAAAAAAGATAAAAATTTAGTTAGTTGTATATGACGATATACGGAACCGTGAAATAACTATTACTTATATATTAAAAAAAAAAAAACTCACATCAGCATGTTAACCGAATAAGATCAGCGTTTTATATTTATAAAATCGATACGAAAAGAAAAAAAATTTTTCTCAAAAAGTTCTTCAATCCAATCCTATCACAACTTTAGATCCCAGGATACTTTATCAAAATTTTTGAAGTCGCTAAATCACCACGCGTGGTATTTGCGGATTAATTTCATTGACTATTGAATCTGGGCCTCAAGAATCAGAAAACATTGTTCCAGATGAAACCAATTTATTTTAACACCTGCTTTTAAACGATAGCAGATTAGGTACCTAATAATAATTTATGACTCAAGTGAGATAAAGAAGGAATTCACAACGTATTTTTAATAGACGAAGAAGCTCATGTTGCAAGGCAAAGAGAAGAGAAATCATCTTGCGTTTAAATGATCAAGGACGTCTATTATAATCACTAGAACATGTCGACGAATTATAAACAGAGATTACGAGACTAAGAGTTCGAGAGGAAACAATTACTTGAAAAAATTATCATTATTTTATGGAAGTTTACTTGATTGTATAAAATAAACTTGGACTGGACTTGCTCAAAGAACGGAAAAAAAATTCATATGTATTTTAAGCTCTGATCGCGAGATTTACTCATTTCAAAAAACTTCGATAACACAATATAAAAAATTTTTTTTTTTCATATTCAAATAAAATGAACTGGTTTTGATCTTTATTATAATACATAACGTTTTACTAATATAAATACATATACAATTTACATATATCAAAACAAAACGTTAAACAAATATTTTTCTTTTCTTTATTTTACCTGACCTTCCTAAAACAAATATATGTGCACGCAAACAAAAAAAAAGGGGGAAGAAAGAAAGATCCTTACCGAATGACTTAGAAAATAACGGAACCAAAGCAAAGAATCCACGAACCTACAAAAGGCAAACCAAAAGCAAAGAATCCGCGAACCTACAAAAGGCAGAAAATTA